AATGTACTGAATTCTTGTATTTTTTTTTGTATTTTTGGTATTTAGTGAATTTTTAAAAGATTTTTTTTACAATTTTTTTTACTTTTTAGGTGTATTTATGTTAGGTGTGTCTAAAAAGTAAAAAAATTGCTTAAAATATTAAAAAAATTCAATAAAAACAAAAAAATACGAAAAATAAGAAAGTAGAATTTTTTAAAAAGTGTTTTTTGAAAAGTGAAAACAAGCAAGGTGAATAATATTTTAAAATATGTTATTATATTTTTTAGTAAAAAAAAATATATTAGGAGAAATATTTAAGATAATATTTTAAAATATGTTATTAATATTTTCATTTTTTTTTAATTTATAATTTTATTACTTATATTTTTATTTAAATATAATTTTAATATATTTATGACATCACGGTTCGATTCCGGTTCAACCAACCGGTGACCCGTCCATCCAATCCCTTTTCCAGTTCGTTCACCGGTCCGGTTTTTAAAACATTGGCGGAGACCACAAAATCACTAACATTGCAACTTAAATCAACAAAAGCCTATATAAATTGATGTGGACATCTACATGAGCCCTTATGGCTAGTTTGTTCATGCCAGGGCTTTATTTTCTGTGGGAGAACAGAGCAGGAAATCTATACAAAATATTGACAAAAAAACATCAGTTTTGTAGGAATATCAACGTTGAATGGCCAGGACAGAGAAAATTGGACGGCAAAAACAAACGAAACATACTCAACTACTCAAACTTTTTGGAGAAGAGTATCAAATTCCGGTTTTTCTCTTGCTTGGAAATCTTAACTAAGGAATTATTTAAACCAGTACCAGCTCTCACTGCCACTTCAATTTTATTTCAGTAAAAGGCAAAAGAAGAGTTTGCTCTGTGCAACTTCAATTTCAGTTTCATGCAAGTACAAACACCAAGTAAAACAAAGTCGGCCATGAATAAATAATGATTAAAGTATGTTTAAGGTCCTGAAGCATCACAACTGGTAATTTTGTAATGACTTCACCTCTATTGCGTATTTGAAGTTCCCTAGGGAGACCTGGATACATTTTTGCAGTGTGCATCAGGCAGGGAATGGTCAAGCTGATGCTCTTGAAATTTAAAATTCAGAGGGGGTTACATATGTAAAGACTTCCCTATGGCATGTCATACTTGTGCAATTAGCTAGCCTTTCTTCTTCAGTTTCACCTCTTATTTACATCCATCAGGAGGTAACCTTGCCCATCCTTGTTTTATTCTGCTTCAATTTTAATAAGGTTCTTTCAAATAAACTAAAAAGTTGAGAGAGAGAGAGAGAGAGAGCAGTCGAGCTTTATACTCCAGCCACTTGGGATCAACCAAAACTAAGCTTTCTTCACCAACTACTGCTACTACCTAATATCGACCATAGAATCTTAATTACATTATGGTATCTGCCAAGGCTTTTTTGACTCCATCCTATAAATGCATAATTAGATGATCACATGTGACACAAAAGAGAGAAGAAAATGGAAGAGAATGATTCACATGATTAAGGATTGTAAACACATTTGTGCTCTGTCAATTGATTTCATGCAGTTGAGTTTCACAATGCTCGCCTTGATACTGTCAACTGCTAATATAGTTATGACACCTTCTTCCCTTGTAAAGCCCATAATATCTCTTCCCAGGTAACCATGTATTATACTTTTACCAGTTATGTAAAGACCATGTGTTACATCATCCAAATAAGAACACTGCCACCGCCATTTGTCAAAAGCTTTTCTTTCATGAATTCAATGCCCCAATGATCAGTACAGTTTGGATATCTACATTATTCTTCATGTAGAAATCCCCATGCTCTTCCTGCACTGATCACGCACTTTGTTCATCGTCTATAAATTTCATCAACAAATCAGGACAGTGCGAAATCTCCCATACACCTCCAAACTCCTATTGGCACAGCAATTAGTCAGAAGATTCCTAGGTTTCATCTTCACTAATACTTCTTTAGCTTTTGGAAGACCCAGACAATCACTTAATTTAAAATTTCATATTGGTGTAGCAGGAAGTTTCAAATACTTTTATCAATGCTTCCTATTAATTTCAAGATCCCTAATTTTTTGAAAGCACAGAGACTAAATATGGACCTATTCTTTGCATCATTTGCACAAACTCAAATCTGCAGTCATATGTACCTTTGAAAATGTAAATTATTGCTAAACGCTATGGGTTTTGAGTACTTTTAATCTGCAATTCCCTTTTGCAGTTTCTGCTCAGATAATGTTTCTTCTCAAAACATTACAAGACATTATGATTCCTGAGATCTCACGATATAAAGAAAACTAGAGGAACTGAAATCAAATTATTTGCAGGATTCATATCCAGGCAACCTTTAGGCATGAGATCTGCCAAATATGGTTCAATTTAACACATAAAACTTGGAGTCTTGTGTTTAATGTTCCATCTACTCCAACAAAAAAGGACAGGTTCAAAATCACATTTATTCTTTATAAAGAAAGTAAGTAATCAAATATCAACATGTACACTATATATTCATTAGGATTTACATGAACCTACTTGCTAACTGGATGAATTCTGTAAGATCGTTAAGCAGTAAGACCAGGGTTACTGGCACCCTTCTTTTTAGGATCTGCAAAATACTTCATATTCACAGAGAAAGGAAGAAAAAAATAACTTCTATCCAGAATAGGTGGCTAGTTCAACACCAAGTCATTTCTCCATCCGACCAAAATCCTATAACTGTGTGGATCGATAGGCTGGATCTATTTACCTAGCTATGATAGGTATTGATGGAATATTATGTCAAAATTTCACATGAAATAAGAAGATAAGTCTACCAAATAATGATATTCAAAATACTAAAAAACTTCAAAATTTAGTAACTTAGTCACTTGTATAACCATTTCACATCCTCTAATCCCATCGCCGTACAGTAAAGTTACATTTTCCTTGCAAATAACATAATCTATAAAATCAACAACTCTATAGTTTTCCTTCACTCAATTCATAATGACAGTCCCCAAGGATGATATAAACTTGCTAGATCAAAAAAAAAGCACCAAGGTGCCAAGGTGCAACATATTCATACATGACATATAAAAGCCCAAATTCAATACATAGATACAATTATAAATATTCATATACAAGTACAAACATATTCACACACTGATATGCAAAAACATCAACATGCAAAATTTAATTATTTCTGTAAAGGTTCTATTAATCAATGTCTCAAAAAGGCAGACAACGCCACACAGTTAAAGTGCTTGGCAAACCAAAAGCTTGAGTTCACAGGTTTTAGAACCACCAAGCCCACTTTGCCCCCAAAAAACGCTTTTAAGTTTTAATTTTCATCTAAAACCTCTGTTTGAACAACAACCTACCAAGAACATAATTTAAAGCCACCTCACCATAAACTCTCTTCCTGATCGTGCTTAAAATCTCTTCCTCTCTTTCTCTTTTAATTTTTTTTTCTAGTTTCCACATGATGAATTCATTTTTACATGATTTCTGCTGGACATTAGATCATTGGAAAAGAATTGTGGACATTAGATCATTGGAAAGGAATTGTGGATTGATGTGGTTACTCTTTGGTTAGGAGATTTGAAAAGGGAAAAGGAAAAAGAAAAGGAAAAGATAAGTGAAATGTAAATAAAATATACTTACATTTCACCTAATTTTACACACCATTTCCCTTTCTCTTTCCAAATCCCTCCTCCAATCTCTCAATCAAACACAGCCTAAAATGTTTTCTATATCTGGTAACATCAACCAAGAGTTTTGAAGTACAACTTGTTTACTGTGTTGTGTACTTTAATCTTGAGCATGGTTTAAGTAGTGACTTAGTTGTTTAAAGAAAAGAGAGAGAGAACTAAAATTTTCCTTTTAACACCCTAAATGATTCATTCTCACATTGCATAGTATTTAAGTATATCTGCTTTCTATTCATTATTTAGTTATGATCAATATATACAATGCCGCTGATCAAAAAAAAATAATAATCAATATATACAACGTTATACAGTCCCCCTTTGGCTCAATGAAGGGTCTGAGTTAATGAAAATTTTTCCTTAGTTTCATTATTGAAAACTATTCTGTTGTCGAAAACAAAAAATGAAAATCGATATAGAAAACTTCTTTGACAAGTTGCTTCTGAAAATTGTTTTTAAAAAAGTTTTTCTGAAAGCACCCCAATTTTTAGAAAACACTTTGGTTGTTTTCTGAGTTTTCTAAAATTGTTCTCTCACAAAAATGAAACCAATAAGAAAATTATTGGTGTTTCCAAACTTCTTATTTTTATTTTTTTTAGTTTCAAAAAACACAGTAAACCAAAAACCAAAAAAAATAATTTAAATGAGTACCAAACATAGTTTTTTCTTCTTGTTTAAAATAGAGAAAAAATATAAAATTGCCTAACGCAAAGGTCAACAGAAACTGCCTACACAAACTCCATGAAAAAAATATGCTATAAGAGGGGAAAAGGGAGAAAAGTAACACGGCCTCTCTCAACATCAATTTTTTTTCCAAAACAATGAACTATCCGTTACATAGATATTCCAACAAGATTGATAATAGAGATAGCAAAAAGCCATCAGTTTGGTCACAAAGAACCCCTGAAAATCTCCTTACAAAGGAAGCTAGCCCAAATAGAGGGTGCAATAGGTTCTAAAAACAATTCAAAGTCAATTATTTCCAAAATCATGAAATTCTCCATGCAGAATTAAGAAACTAAAGTGGCATACTGATAGTCCATGTTAGAAAACATTATATCTAGAGCTACGAAGCACGGGTACAAGTATTGGTACGATACGGGTACGTTGATACGAGAAAATCAAAAAAAAATAGAGTACGGGTACGGCTTGGTATGCTTGTAAAAAAATATTTATTTTTAATTTGGAGTACTGCAAAAATTAATTAAGTAGTTTAATTTGTTAAGATCCAACCTATAATTAACATTTAATGCCAAAAATAAAGGTATAAATCACAAGTAAATGTCAATATATTAAATAACATACAAACTATATTTTAATTTTAAAATCATGTTAACTATAAAACTAAAAATAAAAAAGAAATCTAATAAAAGGAGGTTTATCTCTATAGTAGAAAAAAATATTATTTCAGCTTAGGTACAGAACGATTTGGATATATACTAGCTACGTTTGAATACGTCAAAAATTAAGAGAAAAATGTGGGTACGTGTTTCGTGTACCCGATACATATGCAGAAGTACCATACACCGATAAATACGCGATACAAGAACTGCATATTTTTTGAAGTACCCATACTTCATAGATCTAGAGAAATGAACAGCAGTTATATCAAGCAAACAAGCTCATCATCCATATACGAATAACACCCCAAAAGTCAGTATCCTATCAGATCAAATGACTCCAAGTGGAGGCATAACGAACAGGAATGAATATTAAGTCATGCCATGACAATGAAAACCATTAGGAGTATACGTAACTTCAAGAGGAATAAATCCAAGAGCAATTTTAGAACAGAAAAACAAGACAAACCACCACATTACAGTTCGAAAGATTGGTTCCATTTCTTTCAGTAAAAATGCTTCCCTTAAAAAAATGGAAAACGTTTTGTCATTTATAACCATTCATCTAGATGATCTTCACATGGCAACTTGGAATAATCAATAATTCGATTCAATAAGGTTTGGAAAGAATCATCGAATTTTGAGGCAACTGACAATCATTTCATCTCATGACCACTTACTTAACTTAGGTCATTCATTCCTTCTTGGAAGAAGATAGAAAACGCTGATGTAATATATTACAGAGAAAATCATTGCAGTTAAAAAGCTCAGCAGATCCTTATAGTTGAGAGTATAAGATTTAATCTAAAAGTGTAAGATTTTAAATTTTCTTCTAGTGCAGTTTTCAATCGTGAAGATTTCTTGCACGTGAACTCTAGTTATCTATACTATACAGAGTAAAATTCTAAAATTAATGAAACCAACAAAAACAGTTCCAAATTAGTTCAAATTCACATTTTAACAAAGAAGAAAAGAATTGAAGTAGAATCAGCGAAAAGCAATAATCACAAACCTGCAAAATCGGCCGACATGAAGAAGACCATCAGTGGAAAATCCAGAGCATCTGTCAATCTTGAGCGATTGTAAAGCTCGACCACGAGAATGAGCAAGGAGCTCAAGATCCGAGTCCATCACAATCATCCGGCGAAAGTGAAGAGCCTTTAAGCAACTAAACGACCTCGAAATCTCTTCCACCCAGGGAGTCACATACCCTCCCCAATCCTCCGGAATCAGATTAAACATCGCCGCTCTCGGCTTCCCCTTCAATTTCAGCGACTCCAGGTGCTGAAACCTCCGCCACAGCATCTGCGGCGTCGTGGTATAACATAGAGCGATCGTAACGTGCTTTCGCGTCGTCTTGTCGATCTCGTACCATCGCCGACACACCAGAGACACTGCGTCGCGGTCACGTGCGTCGTCAATGTAACTGATCACACACTCAAACACAGTGTCTGGCATTCCACCACTCACCTTGTTCACTTTTCCATCTTCCATTATCACAGCTTTTCAACAGACTCAAAAATTTCACAAACTTCAAACTTCAAAGATCTAACTGAAAAAAAAATTAATTAATTAATTAAATTAAATTAAATTAAGAAATAACGATGCTAAAACGATTGAATTCGAGTCGAACCTTGGTGAATTCTCGAGAAATCGAAGCTTTAGCAGAATCAAGCAGCGGACAAAATAGTTTCGGAAATCTTCCGAAATCTCCGGCGCGAAACAGAACCGAATCAGATCGGATCGGCCGTGGCGCGACGTGTGACATTAAAATCTGCGAGAAAACAATAGATCGACCAATAGGAGACTGACAAAGCATCGAATCTTTATCTTCGCCAAACGCATCATCTTGTTCGTCTTCCAAAAGCGAAGAGAGAGATAGAGAGAAACAGGACGGCCACAGCCAGAGAGAGAGAGATGGACGTGGTGTGTGGTGGGGGTCTGTGTGCGCGAGATATCAGAGAATAGAATCCGAATACTGGACTCTATAATAAAAACGGCAGAGAATGGACGGCGGAGATTGGATCGGAACGAAAGATCAAACTTAGACAGTTGCAACAGTTTCTGTTAGGGTGATACAAAAGTGGATCGGACCCTATGACCTGGGGGAAATTATATGCTACACATTTTGGTGCGTAGTATATCCATTTTGTTATATATTTATTTTTATAATACATATATTTTTGGTGAAATTATAAAATTTATTGTTCATAAATAAAGTTATATATTTTTTTTGATAATATAATATATTTTTCTAGTAATATTACATATTTTTTTATTTAAATATTTTTCAACTAAAAAATATATAACATTATTATCAAAATACATAATATTATCATAAAATATATAAACTTATTTTTAAATTATACATTATCATAATTTTATGAATATACATATAATATTTATTATGAAAATATATAATATATACTACAAAAATACATAATCTGACATTGCATACGACACATTCCAAAAAAGATGTGTGACTTGGGGGTCTCCATGTACGCTACTTGGGGATAATTTGAGAAGTTGGTTAAAAAATATTATTATTATTATTTTTTATTTTTATTTTTTTGACTTTTTGGTCATTGTATTTGTAAAAATTGTGAGAGGTAATGTAACGAAAAATTTTATTTCCACACACTTAGTTACCTCAGTACACACACTTAATGAATATTATTTTAATGTCAATTATACCTTAAATTAAAATGACCATAATAGATATCTACCAACACCCATAATAATATATCAAAATATTCTACGTACTCGTCTTATTTATCAAATTGCAGAGCTAAGGATTATGAACTAAAATCATGCAAGTGTGAAAGAAAATTGAAACAGAACAACAAAAGGGACACATTTTTTTGAATCTGGTTTGAAATTGAAACAAGAATGTAAAACCAATTGAATCCAAAAACAGCACAACAAGCCATTGCAGAGTTAGAAGCAAAAGAACCCATGATACAAGAAGTTAGATGTCATGCAAAATAATGATGCAAACCCATCAACTAAAACTCAACAATTAGTGAAAATAAATCAGAAAAAAGTGATTCTTGAGAGAAGAACAAGAAGAATAAAGATGTTTGCTGGCTTGCCAAGCCAACAATGGAGTCTACAGCTTCAATTCCTCCGACCCCAAAAAGCGATTCGTATGTTTTCGATCTCACAATCAAATCTCTCATCTATTGATTTGTCAACACGACCCAAATCAAATACCACTGTTGTGTTCAATTTTTGTATTTATGTGTTTGTTAGCTATTTTATCAATTGCTTCAATAATTGTTCGATTAAGAAAAAAAGTCACTTTGGCAGTGGAGGAAGAAGACCCAACAATTCTTTACCTTCACTGCCACCATAGCGCCAGTCCCTTTCCTCCGGTATTCACCTACGAAGAGCTCGAGTCCTTTACAAATCGGTTCGACTTGAAATGCAAAATTAGGGATGGCAGGTTCAGGTCACTCTATCTAGATTAGCTCTACGATAACCGAATCGTCGCCATGAAACACCTCCACAACCACCACCCCACTGTCGCTGGCTCCATCGGAGTTAGAGCTTTCTCCTCCAAGTCCTTCTGTAACGAAATCCTTATTTTCTCATCGATTAATCATCCACACACGCGGCGAATAAGGATAATAGGCCTAATGCGAGGGAGGTGGTGGTGGAGCTAAGAAGGATTCGTAACCAAACACACGGCGGAGGTGGCAGTGGTAATGGAAGTTTGAAAGAGGCTTTGGAAGAGTGTTGAGTGCATGGAAAAGGAGTTGATGAGGTGTGTATACAAGATATGAGTTTAGGGTATGATTGGAATAATTAGTGTGTAGAATGATAACAAAAATTAATAATTAAATTATTAAGTGTGTGCACTGAGAAATGATGTGCACTGAGGTAAGTAGATGTGTGGAAATAGAATTTATTGTGAAGTGACTCAAAGTAAGTTAAAAGCTAAAAATTAACTTTTTACTAGCTTCTCAAATTACTGCATATGCATACGGCTCGGAAACAAACGAAATTAATAAAAATAAAATAAAGGGTTCAGCTTGTCTCATGTTAAGATTAAAATTGGACCCGTCTAGGCCGACCCATGGGCCTATTTTTGGGTCCCGTTTTGATAATCCGAACCGTTCAATATGTAGAACTCGTCGAGTACTATATTTTTATAAAAAATTACGTTGATTGGTTGACAGAATTCTGACAGAACCGTTCAACATGTAGAACCGTTCAATGATTAAAAAAAAAACGATTGACAAAATTCTGATCCAATCAAATAGATATCGATATTCGATTAACGTGATTTTTTACAAAGATATAATACTTAATGAGTTTTATACATTGAATAGTGTAAATTATCAAAACGGGAAAAATCGACTCATAGACTGGACTTGTCAGGTCGAGTCTTGATCTCAACCTGAGACAAGTCGGATCCTAAAATAAAATAGTAAATAAATAAATAAATAAAGGAAGAGAAAACGACAAAAACATGAAGGCGTGACCAATCAGAGTCGTCAACGTCACGATAAGGCCATTGGACAAGTTATGAAAAATGCTTGGGAGCACTAATTAGTGCTCCCACTAATTAGGTGGCAGTGGGTCCCGCCAGTAATGATGTGATGTTTTGGTCTTGGAGTTGTATTTTTTTTTTTTTCTTTCCATTTTTAATTTTTACTTTTTTAATGTATTAGTGTTATTAGTGGTGAAGTTTTTAGTGGGATGAATCATTGTTGGACAAGTTATTTGGTACAGTCGCTCTGGGGACCGAAAGCATTAAGTCTTGTCTCATGGGGAGTTATAAATTAACAGAGCTGCTGGAGAGCTTAATTAGAGCAGCGCAGCCATACAGCTCTAATAGGAGTTGTCATGAATTAAAAAAAAAAAAAAAAAAACAACAGAGTAGTAGAAGATAAAAAAGAGGAAGAAAATGACAAATTAGAGCCTTTTTTTAGAGGTATGAATCATTTGCTTATAAATTATTGAGAATGTGAGATTGATAATTTTAGGTTGAGAATAATTTAAAAAATATAATAAATTATAATTGAGCCAAGAATAAAACCATCCGTAGAGCCTCATTTGAAATATATTTTTTAGTCAAAGTTTTATTTTTGTTTTTAAATAAGATATATATGCAGTATATTTAAATAACAATAATAATAATTTGAACGATATATGTTTTAATTTTTTACAAATAAATATCAAATATAATGATATAGAGGAAATAAAATTTCTAACTTTTTAATATAAATTATTAATTTTTTATTTTTTTAAATAATTTTTTTAATTTTTAAATTAAAAAAATGATATTGTCAACAAAATCTAATCGATATACAACTTTTTCATCTTTTAGGAAGTTAATTACTGAAACTGCCAATCTGAGACAGAGGACTGGATTTGAAATTGTTTTTAGAATCACGGCTTAAGTTATTTGTAAAAAAAAAACTTACTTTCCTTCCTTTCAATATGTTTGTACAACATAGAAAACAAACACTTAAAAAAAGTATTTGTGGATCATAATTTTTAATTTTGTTCAGCACTTACAAGATTCATTAGCTGTTTTTAATTTGAAAAAAAATTTAAAAAAAATTGATAAAAAATATATTATTTTTAAAACAGAAAGAGCATTAATTTGATTATTATAAATTACATTATTTTATTAATATTATATTTAAAAAACATTAAAATGATGAGTTGAAATTAAAAAATATATTTTTTTAATTTTTCAACAAATAAATATAATAAAATATGTGATTATAATTATAGAATTAATTTGATTTTTTTTTGTGATGTGAGAATATTTTAATGCATTATATTTTAATACGTATATGGATTTAGATTAGGCATGGTTTGGGAAGAAAAAAGTCAGGTTTTTTTTGTTAAAAATAGTCCATAAAAGAATAAAATAAATTTTTTAACCCAAATAAGACAAGATATTTCACATTCAACTCATAATCATCACATTCTTTCTCTCACAAAAAGTTAAAAAAATAATAAAAAAACCAAAAGTTCTTTCAAAACAAGCTTTTTTAACCACATACTAAAATAGTCAAAAAAAATCAAAAAATCAAAAAACTAACTCACTTCCAACAACCATATCTTAGTTGGTTCATATGATGGCTCATTAGCCAAATATTCTCCAAAACTGAAGATAAGTGGAACTCTTATCAAAAAAAATTCTCTAATTGGCTACATGGCAAAGGTGTAATTGGAGACATTAAACTACTAATAGGAACTATTTTGAGAAAATAATTAATAACATCAGTTTTTTAGTTAAAAATTAATTTATAAGCTACTTATAAATAATTTTTTTGTAAGTCAAAGAAGTAAGTTATAATCTTAAAAGTGAATTATAACCCCTTTTTTCAAAAAGGACCTTAAGTTTAGTTGAATAAGCTAACTAACACTTGTATTAGAGTACGTTTGGGAAGCTGGTTGTGGGCTAATTTAGCCAAAAACACGACAAAATTGGCTAATTAGCCACAAGGTGACAAAAATGAATCAGTCAGCCTCCATTTGAATGTAGCCTCACATACAACAAAGCGTTAAATTACCCAAATATGCCACCCATGTTGGAAATAATGTTGAAGCAATTAAGGCCACTACCGTCCACGTACCTACTCAGCTGCACCAAAAGTATAAGCCTTCAACCAGCCAAGTCAATGTCAAGCACAAAAAGGAAAACGTTTTTTAATATTTTTAAATATTTTAATTTCAAAATATTGCAATTTGAATTTTTTAAATTTTAAAATTTTTTATAAAAAAAATTCAAACTCTATTTATAAAATATTTTTAATATTTTTAATTTTTTTGTTAGGTATTTGGTTATGATTTGAGTGTAGAGTTAATGAAAGTAGTATAGAGTTTCAAAATTATGTGTTTGGTTTGATGAGTTTTAAAAATAAATTTTTTATATTAAGTTTGTTTATGTGTTTAGTTACGATTTGAGTGTAGAGTTGTTTTAAATTTAAAATATAACATTTTAAATTATTTAAATTTTTTGAATATTTAAATTATTTAAATTTTTTTGTTAAGAACATAATTTTTTTGCATATTTAAATTATTTAAAATTTTTTACGCTTTAAATTTTTTGTAATATTTAT